GTGTGTGTGTGTGTGTGTGTGTGTGTGTGTGTGTGTGTGGGGCTTATTGGGTTGGGCGAGGGGGGGATGGGGAGAGGGCGGGCTGCGAACTCTGACGCAGCTGGTTTCGGCTCTTCGGCAGGCATTATCCTCGATGCTTGGGGCGCTGCAGGCTTCGGGAGGCGCAGCTGCGTGCAGGCGGGTTTCGTCCCTTGAGTCCGGGCAGGGGAAAGGCCTCCCGCGCCAATGATCCCAAGGGGTCTCTGCGAATTTGGTGGATCCTTTCAACCCGGCCTATGGGCAGGCGCCTGGTTTCAACCGTACTTTTGGTGAGTTGACAGATGTGGCCATGTCTCTTAAGGCGAGGCTGCTTGCAGCTACACCCTCGCGCACAGCTCGGGTTTTCATCGCGACGGACAATCAGACGTATGTGGACGAACAGTTAAGCCATTCCACTGGCACTGCGAGCCTCCGCGAGAATGTGCTGCGTCTTGGAGGGCAGGATAACCTATTCGAGACCAAGGACAGTCGTCTGGCCCAGCAGGCTGTGTACTGGGCCTCTCAGGAGATCGCTGCAATGTGCAAGGGAATCGTGATCAACAGAGACAGCCAGAGCTCGAAAGTCATGGAGTGGATGGCTTGCGGCAGGCAGGGCCACTGCCCGGTCGTCGAGGACGTTGCGCAACACCGCCCCGACGAAGAGGTGAAGGCCGCGCAGCTGGCGTGGGAGAGAGGCCAGAGGAGGAAAACCAGGGGAACGAACAATGGCATGAACGTAACAGCTCGTAGGTCCGCGCGGCTTTCTCGGATCGGCGCTGGGGCCCTCTGGCGCAGGGGGGTCGAGCGCCGATCCGAGAACTCCGCGCGGACCTCCGAGCTGTTACGTTCATGTCATTGCTCGTTCCCCTAAAAAACGAACCGCTACCGCTATCCTGGCTCCGTTTTCGCCTGTTCGGGCCTCTTGGGAGGCCCTCGTTGCCACCGTTGGGTTCGCCTCGAAATTCTGGTCAGGACACGCCCCGGGAGAGGTCCGGGGAGTACAGTGGGACCGAGGTGTAAGATCGAGGTCGGTTCGGGGAGGGTAGTTACCCTCATGCTCTTCGTGTTTGCTGGACGTCCTTGCACATTCCTGGGGCGAGAACCCTCGGATGTTCTGTGTGCTTCGGCCAGCGGAGGGGCTCATGTTCTTGGAGGATGTTTTTCTGTCCTAGGTTCGGCCGCAGCACAGGTTGGCATGGTCGGCGGCGGGAGAGGGGGGGAAGCGAGAATGATGATGTTTTCTCGGAAGGCGGCGGGGCTTCTGAGAAGCCCGCCGGCCTTTGAGAAGTTTTCCGCGTCTTCGGGGAAGGCTCAGACAACTTCTCGGAATGCCGGGGGACTTTCCGGCCTTATGAGAAGGCCTTCTCCTTCTCACTTCCCCCCCTTTGCCCGCCGCCGACACGGGTATGCCCGCGGGTCCCGCCTCCCTCTCCTGGCCCTGGTCTGGGCAAGAGGAGGAGGAGGAGGAGGAGGAGGAGGAGGAGGAGGAGGAGGAGGAGGAGGAGGGAGGAAGAGGAGGAGGAGGAGGAGGAGGAGGAGGAGGCGGAGGCGGAGGAGGATGGGAGCGAGGAGGAGGAGGAGGAGGAGGCGGAGGAAGAGGCGGAGGGGGAGGGGGGGAGGAGGGGGGGAGGAGAGGAGGGAGGAGGAGGAGGAGGCAGAGGAGGAGGAGGGAGGAGGAGGAGGACCAAGTCGGAAGTTGGGAGAGGCTGGTCCGCGCTCGTGGGCACGCCGTGTCGCGGTAAGCATAGGTTGAGCGGTGCCTTTGGTTCATCCCAAGAGGAGCGCGCCCCGCCGGGCGTTATTTCCTTTTTTTTACCTATCCTTTTTTTTTTTTCCTTTTTTTTATTACTTTTACAGCCAGCGCTGCTGAGCATGATCATCTCCCGCTCTCGGGGGCGACGACAGGGGCGAATAGCCGAGGGGCGGGTGTTACACGCATTCGCCCGGGAGCCTCACCGAAAGCATGTACCATTGGCGCCCTTGGATGCATGTATTGCTCCCCTCTGGGCTATTCGCGCCTATCGTCGCCTCCGACGCTCGCGCCGCGGCGCCGCCCGAGAGCAGGAGCTTTTGGCCTCTAGGTGCTCAGCAGGCCACCGGGGGGATGGCAGGGGGCGCGCGCGGGAAGAAGGTTCCTCTTTCCTCCTCTTCCTGCTCCTCCTCCTGCTGCTCCTCCTCCTGATGCTCCGCTCCTTTTCCTTATCAATAGTTTCCCCCCGTCGTAGCCCGAGGCCAGTTTGTAGGGCGGGCCGGGCGTTTCGCCTGAGATATCCTCACCATTTATGATTTTGAAGCTATTAAGAAGTGACAACAGTTTCACATATGGAGGGCGGGTGGTTTTCAAAGTGTGGCTCTCGCCTTAGCGCCGCGAACATTCGTTTTAACTATTTGCAAGCGTTTCACGGCTTGAGGGCTGGTCGTTTTCAACATGTGGCTCTCGCCTTAGCGCCGCGCACATTTGCTTTTGAAACATTTGGCAGAGTTTCACGGATTGAGGCCTGGTCGTTTTCAAAATGTGGTTCTCGCCTTAGCGCCGCGTACATTCGTTTTTAAACATTTGCAAGAGCTTTACGGATTGAGGGCGGGTCGTTTTCAAAATGTGGTTCGCGCCCTAGCGCCGCGCACATTCGCTTTAAAACAAAGCAGGAGCTTCATTGCTCGAAGGCGGATCGCTTTCAAAATGTGGCTCTCGTCTTCGCGCCGCGCGCATTCGTTCATAACATTTGGAAGAGTTTCACGGATTCCCATGGTCAACGTACCAAAATTGTGTTTTGGAGGGATTCAGGATTTTGCGGGTGCAACCGTCATGTTTATTCGCGGTGTCGAAGTCCCCAAAATGGTGTTTTGGGAGGGTTCTGGATAGTAAATACGCAACAGTCAGGTTGATCCGTTAGGTTGAAAGCCCGAGAACAATGTTTGGCATGCTTCAGTAATTTCAAACGGTTTTCTTCCAACGAGGCAGTTCCCTCAATGCAAATGGACTCTTGTAGGCGATATATCAAGAAGGGGCTTGGAGGGAGGGTTTATCCGAACATCTTTGATGGCTCTTTGCTTTGCACTGGTCATCCTCCTCCTCCTCTTGTTTTTCCTCCTCCCGCCATTTTGGCTCAAGTCTTTTCTTGAGCTGGCAGCGCCCGCCGATTCCCCGCATTCCCTGCCACGGCTGATGCATCTAAGCGACGACGAAGAAGGCTTGTTCCCGCACGGCGAAGACGGGGAAGCACGTGATCGGAAGCGCCTCGCCAAAATGGAGGACCGCAAGGCCATGGACGCCCAGGCGATCGCCGATCTCATCGAGAAGTCGGCCAACCGTGCAGCCGAGAAGACTGGCCAGCAGGTGATGGAGCAGGTAAAGGAGGTGGCGGCTGCGACGGCCAGATCCACCTGCCAGGAATTTCTTGAAGGAGAGCGACAGCCGCATGAAAAAACTGGAAACACACCCGTGTCTTGGTGGCGCCTCTGCCGCTCGAAGTGTGGCTGGGGACCGCAATCCCTGCTCCGTGGCCAGCAGCCGCGGCCGCCACACGCCACGGGCCATGGACATCAAGAGCTTCGTGACCGATGGAAAGGACCCAGATCCGACCTCAGTGACCGGAACTGTTGGACGTACCGTGGTTACTACAGTGTCTACTGGAGTCTCCGACGACATCACGGACCGTTTCGACCTTGAACGCACGAACAACGTGCTGGATAAGAAGGCGCTGCGCATCAGGTTCATGCTCTACCTGAAGGAGAACGATCGCAAAGCGGCGTGGGACATCAATACGGCCATCCAGAACTTGGTGGACAGCGGGACTCTGAGCTGAGGATGCGTGCTGTCGCGTCTCAGACCCTGTCGCGCCTCAGATCGTGGTGGAGGCGGATCCAGACTTCCAGCCCTTCAGGCAGCAGGCGGCGAAATTATACTCGGTTGTAAAGTCCTTGCGCCTGGACAAAACGTAGCGCAAGCTCGATGACCCGAAGGTCGGAGGACTGCAGCACATCATCACCAGGAGGATCCAATGGGCGCCTCACCCCGTGAAGTGTGCCACCCACTTGCGGCTTTCTGGTTGGGCTATCCATGCTGCGAAACTGGCGCGAGTGGTGCTGCCGCTCGGATGAGATTGAGATCATGGGCGCTATCACGGGCGCCTGACGGACTCGATGCCAAGCTCGACAGAGGGGCAGTAGACGCATTGCGGACCTTACTGACATATCCTTAGTGCAAACAATGCTCCGATGTGTACCTTGCCAGAAGTTCTCAAGCATACCGCTGGCTCCCATGGGTCGGATGTTTTTATGACTCCCCAGGAAGTTTTCATTGGAAGACAGATCCTGGAGGTGATGTGCACATCGGTCTGCCCCGAGGGCGCCAGGGGGTTGTTCCTTCAGCCCCTATCAAGCAAAGGCGATCCAGTCATGACCTCTGGGGCCAGGGGAGTTCTCCAGAGGCTCCCCGAGGCCTCCAGAGGCTTGCAAGCGGCAGCGCAGCGTCCTCCCCCGAGATCCGTCGCTGCGAAAAGCTGCGACGCCGTGGAAAGTCACGGCAGCGTCTCTAGAGCCCGCTGGCGACCCCTCGCGAGACCGCCCGGCGCGGAAAGGTTGCAGCGCCTGTCGTGGTGCAGATGGACTTGGGTCCCGATGCGCTGGTTGGGGAACCTGGCCGCCCCCGTGGGCGAGCCAGGGCCACCCGACTCTTTCAGGGGGGCGTCGACTCCGGCAGGGGAGACGGTTCTTTCCACCTCTTCCGAGCACGGGCCAGGGGCGCTGCTCGTCACCACCCACCAAACCACCCCAACCCAACCCGAAGGCCTCACTTTGCCTTCCATTTCCAGCGGGGTCGGGGTCGGGGAACATCGAAAAAACACAGATGGAACCCATACCTCCCCCAACCCGAAATTCGGATCTTCGGGTTGGGTTGGGGTGGTCTGATACGTAGTCAGCTCGGGGGAGCCTCTTCCGAGCATCGGCCAGGGGCGTTACTCGGGGGCGAGCTGCCGCCGTCGGTCGCCTAGAGGGGGTTCGACGGCCGCCCCTGCGCGCAGCGCTTCCGCTCGGGTACCCCGAGAGAGGGGGCCCCGAGCTCGCTGGAACCCAGGTTCGACAACGCTTTTTGACGAGCCTCTCCGGTAGGAGGAGGAGGAGGAGGAGGAGGAGGAGGTTCTAATTAGCTCTCGTGAGGTGTTTGCAGCGGCCGCCCGCGTCAACTTTCAGACCGGGCCTCGTCCTTCTTCTGGCGGCCTCGCCAGGTCAACCTCGAGGCGGGCAGGTCCTTCCACCGGAGAAACTTTCAAGAAGAGTAAGAAATCATATGGCGACGAGTCTTCGTGCTTTGTTGGCTGCGCTTGATGATTTGTTGACCGTGTGTCATTTTTCTGCCAAGTGCCGCCTGCAGGAGGACATGCTCGACCTGCGGCTAACGCGGGGCCCCCGAAGCTGAGCCGCGCGCCTCCCCGATCTGGGGCCGAAGCGGCCCCAGAGGCGCTCGGGGCCCCGAGGTCTTGCGCCCCGGGCGCCGATGGGGGGGGGGCGCCTTGGGCGGGGAGCCCGAAGAGGGCCCGAAGAGGCCCGAGTTGGGGCCCTCCTGCACTCCTCTTCCAAGTTCCGCCATGCTCTGTGCTCAAGGAGGTGCCCATTATCTGCGAGACTGGAGCTATTTGATTCAGTCGTGACTTCGACCGCCTTATATGGAAGCTCGTGCTGGACGATGAACGTTGAGCATCGTCGTATTCTGCGAGGAACATGGCGCAAAATGCTCAGGGAAATCTTCCAGATCCCGCGCTGGAGCGAGGAGGGGTGGGTTGACTACGTCAGAAGATCCACCCGCCTGTGCGAGCAGACAGCCCGCCAGCGAGGATTGGACGACTGGGTTGCGACACAGACGAGCAGGACATTGAGATTCGCCTTCAACACAGATTCCTGCACGCTGGGAAAATGGAACACGCGGCTGCTGCACTGGGCTCCATGGTTCAGGACGCGGGCATGCAGGCGCCCAGGGAGACCGTGCCAGCGCTGGGCGGACGACCTTTGAGACTCCGGTCGCCGGTCTCTGATTATATAAGAAAGAGCGTGTTCTACCGCTGCTGGCGGAAAACCGGGGGGGGTCACTGCCGTGTCGAACCCCCTCTTTTTTCTTTTTTTTTTTCCCTTTCCCATTCTCTCTCTCCCCCCCACAACCCTCCGAAAACGGGGGGGGGCCCGGAGGTTCGAACCCCTCTTCTCCCCCCCCCCCCCCAGCTCATCATGAAAAGGCGGGGGGGTCAACTGCCGGTTCGACCCCCCCCCCCCCCCTCGAAAGTCCATGTGGGGGCGCGCGGACACTGGTGGGGACGGTGTTTGGCTGGGGACTGTGGCGAGGGGACAGCGGGACAGTGGTGGGACTGCGGGGGGGCAGAGTGGGACGTGGTGGGGACGGTGGTGGTGGGGACTGTGTAGGGGTCAATGGTGGGGACAGGGGGTGACAGTGGACAGTGGTGGGACGGCTGAAGGCAACTGGATGCGAAGCCCTACTGCTGGGAATGAGGAGGAAACACTGGGACAGTGGAGGGTACAATGGTGGTGGGGACACTGGTAAAGGCGTCGGCGAGGACGGCGGTGGGACAATGGGACAGAGGTACAGTGGGGACAGTGGTGGGGACAGTGGGGACAGTGGTGGAAACAGTGGGACAGCTCAGTGGGACAGCGGAGGAGTTAGTGGGACAGTGGGGACAGTGGGGATAGGCAGTGGTTGGGTCCGTGGAGACAGTGGGGAGAGTGGAACCGTGGTGGGAACAGTTGTGGAAACAGTGGGGACAGTGCGACAGTGGTGGGGGCACTGGTGGGGACAATAGGGACGGTGGTGGAACCAGTGGGGACAATGGTGGTGAGGACAGTGGTGCTGGGAACAACAGTGGGGGATGTGATGCGAGCGGTGGTAGGGACCGGGAGTCGTTTGCTGGCGGTGCGTGGGGTCGAACCGGTAGTGACCCCCCTCCGGTTTTCGAGGGGGGGGGGGGGTTCCAACCGGTAGTGTCCCCCCACGGCTTTTCCGGTTCGTGGGGGGGGGCGGGGGGGAAGTAGAGGGTGTTCGAACCGTGTGAGTGACCCCCCCGGTTTTCGAGGGGAGCGGGAGGGGGGGGGGGGGGGGAGGGGTTAGTATCTAATAAGGGAGGGGGGGGTTTTTGCGGGAGGGGAGGGGGGGGGGGGGGGGGGGGGGGGGGGGGGGAGGGGTTCCGGCAGGGGGGGGGGATTTTCGGAGGGTGGGGGGGGGAGACCCCCGGGTTCCGGCGGAAAAGGTTGGCAATTTTCCACAGTAAAGCGGCGGTGGATCACGCTCTCTCTTATATAAGCATCTCATTCGTCTTGCCACAAACAAGCAACATGGCAAAGCCAGGATTGCAGCAAGTCTTCCGTTAGGGCCACTAGTGCGCCCAGCCAGCTGGTCTTGTGTGTCCTTTCTTCCTGCCTTGTCCTGTCTTTGGCTCTCGGCTCCTCCTCCTCCTCCCCCTCTCCGTGTCCTCCCCCCCTTGCCCTTGTGTTTCCTTGCCCTTGTGTCTTGTGTGCTCTCCCTCCGTCTCCTCGCTTGGCTTCCCTTCTCTTCCCTGTCTCCTCGTCTGTCCGTCCGTCGGCCTGTTCTGTCCTTTCCTGTCGTCCCTCCTCGCCCCCTCCCCCTCTCGCTCCTCGGCTCCTTGCTTTCCCGTCGGCCCCTGTTCCTTGCCTTGCCCGCGTTCTCTTTGTCGCCCTGTCCTGTTGTCCGAGTAAGAGAACGCTGTATTTTCCACATGTGTTCACGCCCGCGCGCCGCCTGGTGCGTGGCTTGTCTGTCTGATTGCCAGTCTCACTCGGTCTGCCCAGGCGCGCTTCCGCGCGCCGTCAGGGGCCCGGCCCGCCGCGGCCGGTCAGCAGACCGCTTCTCCTTCTTCTTCTTCTTCTTCTTTTTCTTCTTCTTCTTCTTCTTCTTCTTCTTCTTCTTCTTCTTCTTCTTCTTCTTCTTCTTCTTCTTCTTCTACACTCCTCTTCCTACACTCCTCCTCTTCCTCCTCCACCTCCTTGTCCTCCTCCTCCACCGGTCCTTCTCCTTAAAAACAACTTCTCCCTGCCACGCCCCGAGGCCAGTTTTTTTAGGGCGTGCCGGCCGTTTCGCCTGAGACTTTTTTCGCCACTTATGATTCTGAAGGGGGCGGTTGCTTTTCAAGTGGCTCTCGCCTTAACGCCGCGCACATTCTTGTTTTTCAGTTTGAAAGACCCTTACGGCTTCCCATGATCAGCGCGCCAGAAATAGCGCTTTGGAAGGATTCAGGATCCCGCGGGCGCAACAGTTATGTTGATTCGCGGTGTTGAATCCCAAAAATGGCGTTTTGGCACGATTCCGGGTCGTCAAAACGCAGCAGTCAGGTTGATCCGTGGCGTTGAAGTCCCGAGGGCAATTCTTCTGACATTCTCTAGTAATTTCAAACGGTTGTCTTCCAACAGGCAGTTCCCCAATGGAAATGAACCGTTGTAGGGACCCATAAAAGAGGGAACGTGGAGGGAGGGTTAATTCCAACATCGCTGATGACTATTTAGGTTACACTGGTCCTCCTCCGCCGCCTCCTCCGCCGCCTCCTCCGCCGCCTCCTCCGCCGCCTCCTCCTCGTCCTCTTTCTGGGGGGAGGGGGGCTCGATCAGCCCGAAGGGCCGTACGACTCCGCGGTGAAGCTCTGGGGGTTGCGCCCCCTCGTCCCCAAATATCGGGCGACGAGATCTGCACGTATCCGCTGCTGCTGTCCAGGCCCATCCTCAGCCCAGGAGCTGTGTAGTTACGAGTGAAATCCTGCAGGCCTCGAGCGGTGCGTAAGTTGTATAATCTAGTCCACACGTCAGCTCCGTAAGCTATGGGTCGACGCTCGCGCGGCGATCTTCCGGCGTCAGTCCGATGTAGTTCCGGCGTAGATCGACGTAAACCGGGCGTAAATACGACGTGGGTCCGACGTAAATCGGGTCTCGAGTTGCCGCGCGAGGTCTCCAGGAATGTCTTCATGAGTGCAGCGAAGCCTTCGTGGCCAGGCCAGGCGAGGAATGGGCGTACACACCGCTGCTGGGCCCAGGGTGGGCCTCGCCAGGGAGCAGCGGACACGTCCTCCTGGTGGCATAGCCACCGGGGCGATGAACCTTCCGACGGGGCGTCCCCATCCCCCCCTTACGGCCCCTCAGCGCGCGTTCAAACATCTCGCTTCCCTCCACCTGGCCCGGGAACTTGAGCTTCAAGACTGCCGTGTCCCCCAACCCCCCCTCCGACGGCGCTCGCCCATCCCCCCCCCTCGAACCTCGGGGGGGGGGGGGGCGATTCGTATGCCACTCGGGACATGGACTGCATCGCCCCCC